TGAATGAATGAATGAATTAATAAATAACATGATAGTATTTGAACGCAAGAGGCTCAGGCAGTATTATATCATGAAATTGAAATTTCAAAACAAAGCCAAGAGTAGTGTGAGCCTACTGATAATACTATTCTCCTACGCAGCCGYTATTAGTGTCGTCGAGCAACGCATAACAAATATATCTTTTTTKCTGCAGAAAAACCAGAGGATCAAGGATCATCGTATGTCCCACWGCTAAATGATATCGCCATAGTTACGTCATCATTTCTTGGTGAGTACAGTTTAATGTCATTACTATAGCTAATGTCTTTATAGATGAATGGCTTGATAATTCTTTTTTKATTCCATTGGGTCTTATTTGAATTTTCAGAACGTTTATCGAAGTGTGAAAGTGAAATTAATATCAACAAAAGTTCTGCCAGTAAACCTAGTGCATCAGCAGCTCCAGCGACAAACAAAAAGGGAAGTGCACTGAATAAAGCRAAGGCAGCATTCTTGTCCAGCCCAACACGAGGGAAAACTAGGGAGAGAAGTCTTTCGAATAAAAGTCCAACTTTGAAAAAAACTACCAGATAAAAAGCTAAATCACAAAAAGCAAATGAATTATAGAAATAACAGTTGCACGAAAGAACGAAAGAACGAAAGATTTGACAAGCGGAGTAAGCGTATAAAAAGAATATGCAGAATATAAATTTAGGGTTAGTAATAATTTGGACCCAGTTGTTGAAGTTTCCTGTGACATGAGTGAAATCACTGACGAATCTTTACATAAACGTAMTGAGTAATAAACGTTGAGTAATAAGCGCTACCCGGCGGATAAATCCTTATCCAKTGGATAAGTCGATGCTGTTTTCCAATAAATTTATCCATTGGATAAGATTTACCGTGGTATAGCGCTATCCAGGCTTCGTAYAACCGGGCCCAGATGTATAAATACCATCGACTGTCTCTCGTTTTCCCACTGGACTCTGAAGAAGTGACTTCCGCTCAGGATGTCGCAGTCAACACCAAGAATRGTCTCCCTCGCATCCGTTTTTAGTGTCGGTCGTCACGCAACGCTCCCTCCCCACAAGCCTTGCCACACAACCATACAATTCTTTGTAATTTATAGCGGTTTTCAAAAAAAAATTAGACAGGAATGGGTTATACTATGGAGGATTTAATTAAAGCGGAAAAATATTTCTAAGGTCTATATCTATTCGAGTATCTTAAAAAAAAAAAAAAGAATTTTAAAAACAGAATTCTGTAACTATAAATTTCAGGTCACCGCATCCAAGTACTAATCTCCCTCAAACGTGCTTGACTTTTTTAAAAGCCCACGTTTTTTCCACTGGACCACGATTTCAGGAAATTTGCACAACAATAGCCGTAAAAACAATGCAGCAGATAGACTAGTTTATTTTCCACTTCAAATCAACGTGCCAGTGCGTGGCAGAGTGCAAGGGATTAGCTGTAGATATGGTCTGGGGGCCGGCTAGTCTCTCCCCTGATGCTTCGGCTAGAACACTATTCTGCGTAATCCGTACACCCAAGGGCAGAGGGACTTAATCGCCGTCATGTCCGAAGTCCATACGACGACCCAGCGGATGCTAGGGGTATGGCATGAAGGCACTAACTTTTTGTTCTTCTATATATTGGAATTAATTATCTAATTAAAGCTGGTGGATGTTTCAGTGTTCGATTCACACCGTATTCGGAGTACTTTTTTTCCTTCTTTCTTCTTTTCATTTAGCCTTAGATGTTTTTTTTAAATATTATTTTATTTTTATAAACGACTTTTATTAATGCAAGAAAATGACTGACACCAGCCATGTAGGATTTTGAGCAAAGACCCTGGCCGACTGCAGCGACCAGAGCGTAAAAATGTAAAAATATAATATAATAACTTGGCTTTACTTATCAATAAAAACATTGAACACTGAATCATACTGAAATTGTTGTTTTTAATTGAATGAATGAATGAATGAATCCTTTATTTAAAAATAAATAAAGCCAGGGTAGTCCCTTCAGAACTAATAAAAAGGTCTGCTATCAATGGGAGCCCTGGCATCAAATACAAGTACAATTAAATAGAAATACTGATAAATAGAAAAGATAAATACAAATAGATATATGAGTTAAATGCTATAAATATGTGTAAATATATATAAGCCACTTTACGGCTTGAGAATCGCCTCCAGCGCGCACGCGACCCCATCCCGAATCCCCCACCCTCCCTAGTAACGAAGGAAGGTGAGAAATTCGGGACAAACCCGCACGAGCACCGAAGACGACTCCCAAACCGCAAAGTGGCCTATAGTACGTTAAAAATCTACATGCCTATATTTAAAATACTAATTAACAAATTTAAATCACAAATTCAGTTTTAAAACGCTTAATGGATGCGGTCGTAAGAAGAACAGTCATGAATTAGCTGAATATGGATCTAAATACTGTAAATGATACACTTATTTCAATAAAGTTAGTCACCTGAAAAGCTATAATACCCAGGATTATGGGTAGATTCATTTTACACGTTCAACCGCTTGATAACTGTTCATGGACTTGCGAATCTTTTAACGGTTACAGTCTTATCTCTTCTCATCATCATTGAGCTGCAGTTTGTATTAAAAAACTTTGTATATCTATGCTTTTTTGATATGAAAAGTTTCCCATGATGCTCAGTGATCTCAGCTTTTTAGGTTTTTGGTGTCTAACTTTATTGAAATAAGTGTATACTGATTATTGTTATATTCTTTCTATCRAACACTGGTATGACGATAACAAACCACTGGCATGGATTCTGGCAGATTTTTACTCATAAAACAGCTAGATTATGGGCTCCATGAGATGAGATTTTAGATGGTGATACCGCTGATCACTCGTCCCATTCTCCTATTCCGCATTCCCGGTCATTTCCAATTCCCTGTTTTAGTGACTTCCATTTTACTTAATTGTTTTATAAGTAAAATATGGACTTACCTGTCTCAAATCCAGGCTCAAATCCTTGGAGATCGGTACTGAATAAGCTGTGGCGTCAAGGCCAAAGAATTCAACTATTTTCCAAGTTGACGCTAAAGGGGGCTATGAGGGGGAACCTGTAACGGTCTCACACTCTTGGCTTTCCTTTTTAAAATGGCAAAAATCTTTCTTCGCAATATTGGTAAGGTTTTTTTCCATTTTTCCGTTTTTTACCGTTATCCAGGGCTGCCGACCCCCATGAGTCAGTAATTCAACTTTATCAAGTGTATTGTATCGTATCGTATYGTTGACGCCTGGGCTACCTGTGACAGATCCATTAAAGATCGAACATCGTCGAAACTGAAAAACCTTTACTTTGGATGGTAAATTTTCGTTTCAGAAAAGTATTATTATTATTATTATTATTATTATTATTATTTTGGATTTTCTTTACGAAGGTCATAGCTTTTTTATTCTTCGTGACTGGGTTTAAAGCCGCCATTTTGAAAACAATGTAAATATTACGAGTGCATTATGGGATGACATGTATTCAAGTGACGAAATCCGGGGCTAATTAATCGAGCCAATAATCGAGCTTTGAGAAACGGTTTTAAAAACACAGATCAGGTTAGGCCTAATCCTAGATTAGCCAGAAGTCCTCCATAACTGATGAAATTCTGGATTTTAGCCTAATCGAGCTTTTTGAACTGACCCGACCCAGAAAATGACTCGGTACTCAAAAAAATGCTTTTTCTTTCGTTGTGCCTTGGCAATAATGATTGTTCTAATCATTTTGAGATGTGCGATTGACAAAAAGCAGTGGTTGAGGTTGATGTGGAACCGATATTCTTCACAAGTAAGTTTATGAATTTCTAATCGACCCAAACACATCGGTTATAATGGGTTTAGAACTTCAGTTGATAACAGAGTAAGGTGTTTTCACTACTCGAGTAAAGCAGAGCTTAGATTTTATGAGTTGCAATAATAAATATAGATATCGAAATAAGACAACTTATTTTRATTGTCAGTCCCAAAAATATACCTAGGTTTTATATGATGAGTTAGTCTAAGAAGCAAGCACAAGCACTAGTATGAGCAAGAGGAAAAGAAAGAAAAATCCAAGTTCTTACTTTGTTTATACGATAAAACAATTACTCTTGTACTTGCTTACTTGCTTTGCAAGTCACAGCTGAACGTGTCCTACGTACCTTGGACACACAACGAATACTTTTACCATTGAACCCTTTCCAGCCATGTGTTTCTTTTTTTTCTTTTCTTTTCTTTTCTTTTTAAACATTTTTTATTAAACAAAGTATTCTGTAACAGTATACATACAAACGCATACAATTAACAAAATAAAAAGAAGAAGAAGAAAAAAAGTAAATAATGTGTTTCTGTCAATTAAAAAATTTTTTTACGGAAGTGTCCAGTGTTACTCAGCCAATTTTTATTCTCACAACGCAAGTAAAGATTTATATACGAAAAGACACGAGGTCAACTCATAAGTATTTGCTTGTTTATTTATTGTTATTTTGAGGATGTGAAGTGCAGTAGAAGGGTAAGGGACAGATTGGTGTAAATTAATTAAATAATTAAAATGTCGTAAGTCCTTGCTACTATTGGAAAAGTTGAAAAGTTTTTGGCTATCAGAAAATTATCGTAGTAGTCCTTGATTTATTTTCTTTGCGACAAATCCAGATAACGAGTGAACGTCATACATACACGAAGCCGCTGCGGTTGCACCAGGAAGACAAAGAACCAAGCAAATGCAATCTTTCAAAGGTTTGTATAAGTTTAGTTTTGTCAGGGCTGTAGTTTTGTTGGGTTTCTGTGGTTCAAGGGTCATGACGCCATCAGTACGGAGAATGTGTGTATTTAATTCAAAAAAACGTAACCATTTATATTTTATAGTATTGTAGGCTTAACTTTTAATATGTAAGTATGCATTTCTTATTTTTAATCCTTTTAAAATATTGTAATTTTTTTCTAATGATCCTTTTTAAGTTATCCATTTTTACATAATATATATTTGTAAAGCGCTGTTGTAAATTGTGTAATTGCCGCTCAAAAAAATCATCATCATTATCATCATCATCATCATCATCATTATCATCATCATCATCATTATCATCATCATTATCATTATCATTATCATCTTTAAATCAAAGTAAGAAAATTTATTGGTGTTTCATTGATTCATATTCTGGTATTTTTAATAACGTATAATTGTTTCAATGTTTTAAATTCCAGATTGGTGTTTCATGCCAAACTCCTCCATTCATGGTTAATCTGTGCGTGCCCCATCCTCCAGTTATCTCTTATGCAAACAGCACGCACTTGTCCAGTAACCTCACCATGGTAACGGGATATTTCAATCTCGGTTCATTTCAAAAAGGAGACAATCAGCATTTTACCAACGACCTGTTCAAGGGATGGATGAAAAGGCTGTCAAAAATACGCAACTTTATGGTGATATTTGTGGAGGATAACATAACCGATACAATATTCAGGGAAGAGAGATCTCATCTTCCTTCTAGCTTCACAAAAATAATACATATCACAAGATATGACCTTTGGGGGTTCCAGATAGAAAATATTACAGAAAAGATTTACGAGACTCCATGCTATCCYAAGTTCCACCCAAACACAGTTATGGCTTCGTATTCCTGTGTTATGTAGAGTAAATAYGACTTGATGGGAATGGCGCTGCAGAAAAATTACTTCCAAACTAAATATTTTAGTTGGGTTGATATTGGATATTTTAGAGACGAACCGGAAAACGGCCCACCGTTCTCTCTTGGTCTTCCAAAAAATTTCAATGAAGAAAGAGTAGCCTATCTGGAGGTATACTCAAGGCAAACCAACGTGAATTGCCAAGACATTGTCTTTAACAACTTAGTGTGGGTAGGGGRAGGGTATTTTGTCGGTAGAGGTGACGTCATGCTCGCATGGGTGACGCAATACCAGTCTTACGTGTACAATATGTTACATTCTGGATTGATGAGTACGGATCAACAGGTGATATACTGTATGTTTAATGCAAGGTCACAACCTTCTAGTGTTAAGATACAAGTGTACAAAGCACAGGAGGAGTACCATGACTGGTTTACACTGGGATATCTCAGTAAGAGGAACAGGTGACCTACCTTAGCATGTCACGTAATAGTCTTCCGCCATCTTCGTTACAGACTCCAAATGCAAACATCATTAATAGACCACTTGCATGTGACGTCAAAGCAGCTCAATTTGGAGACAAAAACAAACGAATTTCAATCTCCTGAGAATTGGAAACCTATTGTGATATCCTCCAAATTGAACTGCATCTCGACATGCTGCTAGGGATCATGCTGCAATGGCTTTTCCCAAGATAACACTGGTTTGGATACATATCTCACGCTTGTTATGACGTAAATTTTAAATGGATGATTGAACAATAATACTAATTAGAAAAGATATATACAAACATATTTTTAACAGTTTACTTAAGTTTATTATATATTACTCTTAATGTTCACTAGCACAGTTTATAGTCCTTATAGTTATTGGTATATCAAGAATTGATGGGTTGTTGAAAGCATTCCCACGAGAGTTAAAATACAAAAGCATGGCGACCATTGTGGTGCCTTTAACAATGGATGCTGATAAATCTTTTGTTAAATGCCGCCAACGCTTCCAAAGAGACTGCGATGACATAAACGAAGAATAGCGTTATCATGTACTTATATCATAATAGTCCCCTTCACACCTCCCTGCGCCTTCTTGAAAGGTAGGTGCGCGTTTTTTCATCAAAGCGAGACAAACAGTGAGCTCGCAATGATAGAGACGTGAATAATTGTCCAAGTTGTTAAAAAATGGTCCCTATCATTACAAACCGTCTTGTTTCGATGCAAAGACACGGCTACCTTTCAAGATGGCGCAGGGACCTGCGAATGGGACTATCAAGAAATATGATTGACTGTTCAGAAAATTCAATCAGGGTTTTGAAAAGACGTGTCGCGATGCAACGGTTATCGCTGATTTAAGAAATTAAAAAACCGCAACAAAAGGAAAGTCCTTCTTACTCTGCCACTCGAAGTACTGTAGCAAGCTAACTTGCCCAAGCCTGATCGTTGAATTGTTTTAATGTAGATTGATCTTCTATTCTTCTACTAGCGTTCTTCAAGTTTTGCGAAGGCAAGATGCCATTAGAGCGTATCCAGCGGGCTCCCGTACGACCTGCAAAGACTTTTACGAACGCGCTTCTGTAGTGGAAATTCATGAGGGCGTAGATAACGAAGTTACAAGCCGAGTTAGCATAGGCTAGTGTCATGACCAGTCGTTGAAGCCATCCACTTACATACCTCTCAGGTTTAAATGCCCTTATTGTTGTAGTCACGAAGAATGGCATCCACATGACAAAGAAAACGCCAATGACCACAGCCAACGTCTTCACTGCTTTGAGTTCTTTCTTGAATACTGAAAACGTTGATTTACCATTAACTCTCAGGTGAAATGTTTGAACTCTTCTGGTGTTTCTGCGAGCCTCTTTAAGAATTGTTGCATATGCTATGATCATGATGTTGATTGGAACGAAGAAGTAGAAGAAGATAAGAAGGAGTGTGAGTTTGGGATCTTCGTGCCAGTCAATCTCGCATTCTGCGGTATCAGGGTTGAATCTATGCTGAGCAATGTCAATTGGAAGAACAGGAATAATGGACAACAGCGAAGACTGGATCCAAATATATGAAAGAACTATGATGACTCTTTTGGACGTAACTTTCGTGTTGTAAGACAGCGGCCATTTGATAGCTATGAGTCGTTCTATGCTGATGGCGCATAAATGAAGAATGGATGAACCACAAAGCAGCACACCACACATGGAAGATATCTCGCACCATGAAAGACCAAAAATCCATCTTTCTTTAAAGATGGATATCACGATGTAGACGACTCGTAGGAACGGCACAAGAATATCCGCTACGGCCAAACTGCATACGAAGTAATTGGTAAGGTTCCTGAGATTCCGAAATCGCCAGAAGACGATCCAGACAAGTGCGTTGCCTAAGGTTATGAGCATGATGAGCAAGCTCAAAGTACAGCCAAAAAGGAAAACTTCTGCCTTGGGAATATTCAGCCTAAACATATCAAGGCTTGAATCGTTGACTGCTGTTTGATTAATCATGTCTCTATCAAGAAAGAAGTTACTTGATAACTTGAATGAACAAACTTGAATGGATTTTCTTTAGCTATAACAAGTTAGAGAAAATAAGCCAAAAGGTATGTCAAAACTAATTCAAGCATCACTTGTCGAAGTTTTGTCTCACAGCACAAAATCTCTAACAAGTTTTCTAAAAGACAATTCAATGGAAGATTCAGAAAAAGTGAATACAGATTAAGCTAAGATCTGTCCCTGTGTGGGAGATGTTAAGAGTGAATAAAGAAGCAGTACGTCCCTTTCCGGTCTATAAATAATGGGCGATATGGACGGGCGGGATTAGAAAGCGATACTGAAGTGTGTATCATCTCTTCAGCATCAAGATACGTCGGCTTTAGGACCTAGAGAGTTCGATTACAGCTTATAATATAATTTTTATGAGCAATTTARTAAGGCTCAAATAATTTGGAGGCGGTAAAGTAATCTACTTAGGAAGGAAAAGTGTTCTTGAAAGTAAATAATTTAAAAGCGTGATTCGTTTGAGGTGTGTGTATAAAACGACTTCCTGATTTGGAGAAAGGTATAATGATGGATAATACACTGATTGTTATTAATCTTATCTTGAGTTAAAATATTGTAGAAGTTAATTTATGATGGTAATTGAACTGAGGGAAGTGCAATTTGTAATTTGTAATTGCAAGTTTGATTTCAGACCAAAATTGCACGACACGAAGTTCAATATTACCACTTAATCATATCCTTTTTGTAATCATACACAAGAAAAAGACACANATACACTGACTGTTATTAATCTTATCTTGAGTTAAAATATTGTAGAAGTTAATTTATGATGGTAATTGAACTGAGTGGAGTGCAATTTGTAATTTGTAATTTGTAATTGCAAGTTTGATTTCAGACCAAAATTGCACGACACGAAGTTCAATATTACCACTTAATCATATCCTTTTTGTAAATACAAGAAAAAGACACAATAAAGAGAGCAGAATAATCAATTGATTGTAGTAGAAGAACTAAATGCGAACAAAAAAACATTAAGAAAAATATTTTTTGCTTTATTTTGTTTTATTTTATTGCTTAAAAAATTTTTTTTAGGATGCGATTAAGAGCTCCTAATGATGCGAATTGGGAATTAATCGCACTCCTTTGAACCAATCAGATTGCAGGATTTGGTAGTGATTACAAAAAGGATATGATTAGAAAGAATTAACAAACGGCTTAGAAGAGCGGATAAGTTTTGTTATTATTTCAGTACCGGGAAATTGATGTAATTGTTGACATGGGAATGTTAGTAGACAGAAAAAGGAAAGCAAAAAGACGTATCAACGCAATTTTTTGAATTAAAAGAAAACGATGGAAGAGAAAACCAAATAATGGGAAAACCGACCAACCATTTGTCCATCCATCCGACCGACAGACCAACCGATCGACCGACCAACCAACCGACCAACCAACCAACCGATTAGCAGATCGACAAAAATCCAAGCAACCGGCAAGCCAACCAACTAAACTCCCACCGATCAAGCAACCAATTAATTATCAGTGACAGACAGACAAAACCGATAAAAAAAATAAATAAAAAAAAGAAGAAGTCAAGATTAAACATGACAACAAACGAACATGCAACAACATCATATTTATAGTATAATTATATGTTTATCTTATATAAACTTTCAGTATAATTATAGACTTATTGACTATAGAGTTTTTCGAGCTGTGATTGGTCTAGCGACCGTTGATTCATAGACGATAATCACCGCTGGAGCGATGATTATATGAGGTTTTCCAAAGTTTTCCAGATCGGAAGTAATACTAAAACGTTTTTTATCCTGAATTTCGACTTTTCTCTGATATTCAAATTTAAAATCATACTAAAACAATTATTCCCCTCAGGCTCAGTGATTATGGTGATCGAAGACTCGCGGCTCGGTAAATATTCTATCGATAATCACTTCGCCTTCGGCGAATAATTGTTAAATAGTCTTTTATGATTGGCTTTTTAATACAGTTTTCTTTCTGTTTGTAAATATTTCATAAGAGGAACGCTATGTAAATCACTTTGTGACGTCGGTAGCCTCAATAAAGATTATTAC